CCCCCCGGCCTTTTCTTTTTTTTTGGTCTCTGTTAGGCTGGATGAAAACATGAATGTCTGTGTTGCTGATTTTGGGCTTTCGAAGAAAATCTATAGTGGAGATTATTACCGTCAGGGCTCTGCCTCAAAGCTCCCAGTGAAGTGGCTTGCATTGGAAAGCCTGGCGGACAATCTCTACACAACCCATAGTGATGTGGTGAGTGGAGGGTTTTTGTTTTTTTTTTGTCTTTTTGTGCATTGCTTTTGTAATTATCAACGTGATGAAGAAATATCTATTATTCCATTTTCTTGACTAGGTGTTTTGTGACCGGAGGAGATCATGTTTATTTTTTGATGATCTTTGCACCATAATTGTTGTAGGTACTGATATGGGTCAGACCACGGCACAGATTTATTCTGCCATATCATCATGAACAAAATCATGAAAAGTGAAACGTCCTGACTTTTGACCTGAATCTGCAGCATTGGTCTGCAAAACAATCAATCACAGAGATAATTCCTAAAGAAAATAGCAGCTTAATTCACACCTTCCTTCGAAATACCCAGTTGGCAGAAATGAGACCTGGATCTCCTCCAGTCAGCGCATTAAAGTTTTTTATTGGTACAATAGATTTTAGATCTTTAATATGGCATTTGTGATTGTCTATAGGACCCTTGATACCTATCAAGTTTAATGCTCTGGTTTTAAAAAAACACCTTTTAATTAAAATTTATATAGTGGGGAGCAAAATGCTCAAGGATAATAGATATTTCTTTGTATGTTTGACTCCCATAGGCATATTTAGAAAATAAAATTGGAAGATAAATCTGTGCCCAATGCGCAGCATTTTATGAAGCAGTTCATAAAATTTGCAATGTCTCTAGCTTGGAAACCTATGGGTGAGATAAGGCCACCCTCCATGTTTTTGATCATGGAATGTTTTTGAAGCTTGCGGATATAAACTTGCAGTAACATTTTGCATTGGATTTTTCTGGTTTCTATTTTATCACGTCTGATTTTCTATTCTCTGTCCCCTTTATGTAACCTTGTCCTTCTGCGTTATCACACAGCAATTTCCAAGCTTGTATCTACACTTTGCTTAAAGGCTGTACTATATATAAAATATAACAATGAATTATATGATATGGATCATGCAAAATCTTGTAACAACAGGAAAATAAATACAGATTTAAATCCCTATTTGGGAGCAGAATTTCCATTGCCTAGGTGAAGCGGTCATTATGTGAAACTTGTGACCGTACCACTTAGTGATATCTGCTCCAGTAGTCATAGTTGTGGTACCATTAGGTGAGGGCCTCACACTTCTCCTCCCCTGCCACGCTTGCCTCCACTTCAATTTCCTCCACCCTTCTATGTTTCCCCAATCCCTGCTCTTTTGGTTCCCCTGCCCTCTGTCATCCCTCGCTACCCCCAGCTGATGTTCACTGTCTTCTTCCTCCCTCTGACGTGTACCTAGCTGAATTTTGAGCATGCAACTGCTGGAATGCTGCACTGGTTGTAATTTTAGGTACATATCATTACCATTCATTCATCTCCATCGTAATTTCAATCAGTCACTGAACGAATGGTCATAAAGCAAAAACTGCCTAGAATGTAAAATTTACAGTTCTCTGAGTTCTTAATGAAAAGGAAAATGGGACTGTCTACGCTAATCTGAAGTCTCTGAAGATCCTTTTTTGCAAGTATCAAGAGTCAGATGTTTCTCAGAAGTAATGCACTGTACACAATCACTTTAAGTACAAGGGTTCATGAATTCAGTTCCCAGAAGAATGTGTGAATTCCATAGTAAGATCTGTTCCATATAAAATGAAAACTGCCACATACTGCCTCCTGGTGGTCAACAAAAGTAAAAACCACCACCCAGGATATACATTTTTGTACAGGAAAGTAAAGCCATTCTTTTGTTATTCCACATGTTTTCCTTCGGCTGTTATATATATTTATATGTACAGTATATCCTGGGTGATGATTTTACTTATGTTGATGGTCAACATAATACATATTTTTACACACACACACACACACACACACACACAAGCTAAAGAGTTCTAAAAAATAATGCGAAATACGACTGATGCAAAACACTTGATTACCAGACATTCTCCTGAGTCAAACACAGTTTCTTTTCTGTTTAAAATATATGTAATTCTTTTTCTTCCTCACCTCTTAATTCCAATTCAGTGGGCATTTGGTGTGACTATGTGGGAAATTGTGACCCGAGGGCAAACTCCGTATGTGGGCATTGAAAATGCAGAAATTTACAACTACCTCATCAGTGGGAACAGACTGAAGCAGCCCCCAGAGTGCCTCGAAGATATGTGAGTGGCTTACTGGCCTATTATCTTACCTAGGCTTTGTGTAGAAGAGTAATCATGTTTTGAACAAGTTCAGTATTGTTTGAGCAGGAAAACCTACTTACCAATGCCCTATGCCTCTAGGAGTGTGATTGCATCCACATACTTTTAATTTGAAAAAATATATGGTGTGCTTCAAGGAAATGTTTCTAAATTACTTTAAATAAGCATTTATAACGTAAACAGGCATGTGGGTACCCACTGTAACAAATGCTCTATTCCTAGCACATATGTTGTTGTGTTGTTGTACAATCACTTAGTCATGACTTTGTGACCCCATGGACTACAGCAAGCCAGCCCCCTCTCCCATCTCCACTGGCCCAAACCCCTGCCCAGACAATCTAACCACCTTGTTCTCTGCCATTCCCCTTCTCCCTTTGCCATCAATCTTTCCCAACAGTGGGGTCTTTTCCAGTGACTCCTCTCTTCTCATTAGAGGGCCAAAGTATTTGAGCCTCAGCTTCAGTATCTGTCATTCCAAAGAACAGCCAGGGTTGGTTTCCTTTTACAGCATATACAGTCTAAGGTAAAGGTAAAGATTCCCCTCGCACATATGTGCTAATTGTTCCCGACTCTAGTGGGCGGTGCTCACCTCAGTTTAAAAGCCAAAGAGCCAGCGCGGTCCGAAGACGTCTCCATGGTCATGTGGCCGGCATGACTAAATGCCGAAGGCGCATGGAATGCTGTTAACTTCCCACCAAAGTAGCCCCTATTTTTCTACTTGCATTTTTTAGGTGCTTTCGAACTGCTAGGTTGGAAGAAGCTGGCACAAGTAACAGGATCTCACTCCATTACGCGATGCTAGGAATTCGAACTGCCAAACTGCCGATTGACAAGCTCAGCGTCTTAGCCACTGAGCCACCGCGTCCCACACAGCATATATAACGCATGCTGATTGGGAATGAGTTACATTTTGTGAAAGATATTCAGCATTTTAGTGTCCGAAAGTCTTATCACCTCATACATACACAGGACCATAGCATTCCTTTGTTCTCAGTTTTGAAAGTTCCCAGTTCTGGAAATTTTAAAACAGGTTAAGCCTATTCTAGGCCTTAATACAGCATTGCAATGTATTTCCCAAAAGATCAAAATTCACAAATTTACAATGAAATTCAAAGTCTTAGTTCAAGGGGATTCCAGAAATCAAAAACGAGGATTTGAAAACTATAGGCCCTACAGGTTGCAGGTTATCCACCTTGCATTCTTTTAATATTTATTTATTATTGCCTTAAATAATCCCAGCTATAATTTAGTAAAGAACAAGAGATTGTTTCACAATCATATTTAATTTATTTGTGTATAAATACAACTAAATTGTATGTGGTTAATCTGAAGACCTTGCACTTGTGGGAAAATGCTAGGAAGAAAAAAAAATACAGTGTTCCCCAAAACATAGATTTGTGCTTAATCAACACACAGAGCAGATCATTTAAATAGAGTAACAATCCAACAATGATGGAGCTGTAAGGTAAATGAAGCCTAAAGGTACAAAACTATGATGATATGAATTCAGTTTAAGCATCTTGAGAAATCATCCAGTGGGCAGAATATGTATTTCTATCGTTCATTAGCCTCCGTATCCATTCCTATGATATGGAGTTCATTATCAGCAGCCATTTTCAAGAGGGAGGGGGAATGCAGATGGCTCTCTTTGTTTTGTCTCAGCACTCTTGTCCTCTGACTTGCCTTGCAGCTACGATCTCATGTGCAGATGTTGGCATTTGGAACCCAAGCGACGTCCAAGCTTTGGAGCTCTGAAACTGCAGCTGGAAATGATTTTGGCAAGGCTGTCATTGCTTTCAAACAGTCAGGACCCTCTTTATGTCAATGTTGGGAGATCCCAAGAAGCTTGCAGCAGCGAAATCACCATGAATTGTCCTTTTGGAGCCTTGAATGGGGAAGCGGGAGCAATTGCTGCTGTGACTAGTGACTACCGTTACATCATGAACCCGTCGTGCCTTGGAAACGATGCAGAAAGTGAGAGGCGTCAGGATTTATATGACGGAGAAGCCCAGAGCCTCCTTTACGATCTAGAGATGGGAGCAAAACTATGTTAGCCCAAATAACAACAACAACAAAATAGACTTTACTTCTCCCTCCAATAAGATGTGTCTATCTTATTGTATCATCTTACGGTATCACCAAACAGAGACGGTTGGAAGCTGCTTTTAACCAACAGAAGTTGTAGTAATTAATGTCAGCTGTGGCTTCTGACAGCTGTTTTGGAGCTAATATCTCAAATTGATAGAATCACCTCCTGGCCTTCCAAGAGAAATCCTGCAATTGTCCGTGAAATGCAGTGAGAGTGGCCTCTGAACAGCCTGCTGAGTCGCAGCATTCTCCCTGGGAGTTGGGTTTAAGTACTCTGCATATTTGGGGGTGAAGGGTTTTGGGTGTTGGTGGGGTTTTTTTTTTGCCCCTAACATATGTAGGAGAAGAGGCATGTGTCACATACTCCGAACCACGGATACTATCTTTCAGAGCATGAGAAACAAAGAGCCTAATTTAGCAGTAGCTACCTCAGTGGTCCTCAAATTGGGTTCTATACAGCTGCTTCTCTACAATGAAGAAACAATGGGCTTCTTCTCAAGAGTGGTATTTAGTTGGACAAGGAAAGCGCTCCTAGAAAGATAAGGAGTTGAGCAAAAGTGTTCCAATTCCCCTCTTTTTCTCCACAGGCTCTTATTTACTTACCTATCTTCCTTTCCCCTCTTCTTCTTCTTCTTCTTCTTCTTCTTCTTCTTCTTCTTCTTCTTCTTCTTCTTCTTCTTCTTCTTCTTCTTCTTCTTCTTCTTCTTCTT